GTTGTGGGGGTAGTGATGTGTGTGGTGGGGGGTAGTGATGTGTGTGGTGGGGGTAGTGATGGGTGTGGTGTGTGGTGGGGGTGATGTGTGTGGTGGGGGTAGTGATTGGTGTGGTGTGTGGTGGGGGTGATGTGTGTGGTGGGGGTAGTGATTGGTGTGGTGGGGGTGGTGATGTGTGTGGTGGGGGTGATTGTGTGGTGGGGGGTGGTGATGTGTGTGGTTGGGGGGGGGGGGGGGGATCTGTGTGGTTGGGGTTATGCAATTCCAGAAACCTAGGACATTTGGAAAGTAGGATTAAAAACATTCGTTGGTCCATCCATCATTTAAAAGGGCACTACAGGGTCGGACTCCCGTCAGCTGACGTCGTCAACAGCTGATAAGGAAGACTGACACTATCAGCTCAGTATGTCGCAGAGCCACAGCTGTCGCTTCACCAGCCAGTGTACACAAACAAAATAACTATTTCTGGGGCTTGCGAGAACTGGATGGAATCACTGCAAGAATACATCGGACATTTCCTCAATCAATATTTCCTTATAATACCCCAATATCGTTCTTGTTTACATGTGTTATATAAAAAATGCAGCAAAGAGGGTTTGGGTGATCCTGGCACAGTCAGGCTGGTTAGGCTCATCATCACCTCAGGGCCCTTACCCCCTTTACACGCAGCCCAGACAGCGAATGGCTCGATGTTTTGACCCCGTGGGGAGTCCGGGTTAGAAGAGATATCCCAGCCATGCTGGTCATAAGAGGTGTTGTGATGGACCGGGGGGTCGGACCCGTCGACTTGCTTCATGGCGTGTACCCCGACAGCTTGGATCATTGCTCACAATATCAGTCACTGGATTGTCTGCTCCAGAATCGATTTATAGTCAACTGTCATATAGCTGGAATATTGCTGAGGGGGGCATTAAATATCAGTCCGTTGTTTATCCGATCGAGTTCCCTAGAAGTGAGTAGATTGGTTTTAACGCCGTTTGAGCATCATGTATGTGACATCACAGCGCGTCGGCTTCATGTGGGAGGAAAGCCCGAAGTGTGTGTGGTGGGGGGTGGTGATGTGTGTGGTGGGGGTGATGTGTGTGGTGGGGGTGGTGATGTGTGTGGTGGGGTGGTGATGTGTGTGGTGGGGGTGGTGATGTGTGTGGTGGGGGTGGTGATGTGTGTGGTGGGGGTGGTGATGTGTGTGGGGGGTGGTGATGTGTGTGGTGGGGGTGGTGATGTGTGTGGTGGGGGTGGTGATGTGTGTGGTGGGGGTGGTGATGTGTGTGGTTTTGGGGTGGTGATGTGTGTGGTGGGGGGTGGTGATGTGTGTGGTGGGGGTGATGTGTGTGGTGGGGGTGGTGATGTGTGTGGTGTGTGTGTGTGGGGGTGATGTGTGTGGTGGGGGTAGTGATGTGTGTGGTGGGGGTGGTGATGTGTGTGGTGGGGGGTAGTGATGGGTGTGTTGTGGGGGTAGTGATGTGTGTGGTGGGGGGTAGTGATGTGTGTGGTGGGGGTAGTGATGGGTGTGGTGTGTGGTGGGGGTGATGTGTGTGGTGGGGGTAGTGATTGGTGTGGTGTGTGGTGGGGGTGATGTGTGTGGTGGGGGTAGTGATTGGTGTGGTGGGGGTGGTGATGTGTGTGGTGGGGGTGATTGTGTGGTGGGGGGTGGTGATGTGTGTGGTTGGGGGGGGGGGGGGGGGATCTGTGTGGTTGGGGTTATGCAATTCCAGAAACCTAGGACATTTGGAAAGTAGGATTAAAAACATTCGTTGGTCCATCCATCATTTAAAAGGGCACTACAGGGTCGGACTCCCGTCAGCTGACGTCGTCAACAGCTGATAAGGAAGACTGACACTATCAGCTCAGTATGTCGCAGAGCCACAGCTGTCGCTTCACCAGCCAGTGTACACAAACAAAATAACTATTTCTGGGGCTTGCGAGAACTGGATGGAATCACTGCAAGAATACATCGGACATTTCCTCAATCAATATTTCCTTATAATACCCCAATATCGTTCTTGTTTACATGTGTTATATAAAAAATGCAGCAAAGAGGGTTTGGGTGATCCTGGCACAGTCAGGCTGGTTAGGCTCATCATCACCTCAGGGCCCTTACCCCCTTTACACGCAGCCCAGACAGCGAATGGCTCGATGTTTTGACCCCGTGGGGAGTCCGGGTTAGAAGAGATATCCCAGCCATGCTGGTCATAAGAGGTGTTGTGATGGACCGGGGGGTCGGACCCGTCGACTTGCTTCATGGCGTGTACCCCGACAGCTTGGATCATTGCTCACAATATCAGTCACTGGATTGTCTGCTCCAGAATCGATTTATAGTCAACTGTCATATAGCTGGAATATTGCTGAGGGGGGCATTAAATATCAGTCCGTTGTTTATCCGATCGAGTTCCCTAGAAGTGAGTAGATTGGTTTTAACGCCGTTTGAGCATCATGTATGTGACATCACAGCGCGTCGGCTTCATGTGGGAGGAAAGCCCGAAGTCCTGCATGTGTGGGCGTCCTGCATGTGTGGGCGTCCTGCATGTGTTGGCGTCCTGCATGTGTGGGCGTCCTGCATGTGTGGGCGTCCTGCTTGTTTGGGCGTCCTGCATGTGTGGGCGTCCTGCATGTGTGGGCGTCCTGCATGTGTGGGCGTCCTGCATGTGTGGGCGTCCTGCATGTGTGGTTGTCCTGCATGTGTGGGCGTCCTGCATGTGTGGGCGTCCTGCATGTTTGGGCGTCCTGCATGTGTGGGCGTCCTGCATGTGTGGGCGTCCTGCATGTCCAACTACTCTCCATACTTCTATGACTGCCCAATAGTCAGCTGTCCCTTTCTGTCCAGCGTTATTCCAGCAGCCCCAGCCCTTGGTGTCTACTTGTCACAGCCTTTGAGGCGCAATCGAACATGTTCTTTCCATGAAGATTTCAAAGAGCTATTTTGACTTCAACCATATGTTCCCGTGTGTTTTAGTGTACACAGTTGACTTGCCTTTGCATGTGTTTGTAACGGGTGCCACCGATGGGGCAGGATACGCTGATTTGATACTATTTGATTGTGATTCATAAACGCATGACCATGATATAGTCAGACCCGTACAAAGGACTTTGATCCTAGCAGATACTCTAAATGATTAATATAGAAAGTGCTTTTTCGCATTTATATAAACATTACAAAATAATTATACCGTTGTTATGAGTTGTAGTGATAATGTATTTCAGTTTCCTCAGTATTATGGAAAAAAGGGTTTCTCGCTTATTTCGATGTTTAATAGTTTGGTGAAACCCACTAGCATGGATTTAGTTCTGACTACGATCCATATTCGAACCCATGATCATAGGATGCAGGTACACCTAAGGGACGCAACTCTGTGCCCCTTTCTCTCGCCGCGTGGGATAAAGGCTCATTGATTAACACATTAACACTTGCAGGGGTAATCCTACTATTTGTTTATTTGTTTTGTTTGTTTGTTGTTTAACGTCGCACTCAGCAATATTCCAGCTATATGACGGCGGTCTGTAAATAATCGAGTCTGGACCAGACAGTCCAGTGATTGACATTATGAGCATCGATCTACGCAACTGGATACGATGACATGCAAAAACCTAGTCAGCGAACCTGACCACCCGATCCCGTTAGTCGCCTCTTACAGCAAGCATGGGTTGCTGAAGACCTATTCTACCCCTGATCTTCACGGGGACAAGCATGGGTTGCTGAAGACCTATTCTACCCCTGATCTTCACGGGGGACAAGCATGGGTTGCTGAAGACCTATTCTACCCCGGATCTTCACGGGGACAAACATGGGTTGCTGAAGACCTATTCTACCCCGGATCTTCACGGGGACAAGCATGGGTTGCTGAAGACCTATTCTACCCCGGATCTTCAAGTTTCCCTACCATTTACTGCTGTGATGATCGTGAATGTTGCAGATCTATGACGCGTCCTGATCCATGTGAAGATACCGATGCAAGTGTGGTAAATTGTTTAAATAAAAGATTATCTCTAAAACAGGTATCGGAATTGACTATCACTGTCTAGAAGTACTCGTTGCCTCCTTCCTGATATTGTGTTGATAACAAGTATCCCATAATGAGATGAAATTTAGATTTTGAATCTTTTCTGAACCTTATTATATATAAATAAGAATCAAAATGTCCTTAAAATTTGGTTCAGGTGCAGAGAACTTCCAATATTGCTGTGAATGTGAAGAGGCGGGTGTAGAGATCGATACAAAATGCGTCGTCAGGTGGTTTGAGTGAAATATGGTGCATGGCGATACTCTACTTAACAAATATTACACAGCTGATTTTGAGAACGGAATACACGTGCATGTGGCCGCCATACAGCCGTGAGCCGGGCCGACCTTCACGTACACCTTCTAACTACACAGCCACCCGGCCATATTACCATCACGACACCAGTGCCACTAGCCTTGCTCCAAGGCTGTACTGAAAGAAAGGCTCATTGATCTGCAGTAATTCTATCCTCCTAATAGGCAAGTCTAGATACGTGGACAGTACAGTCTATTATGGGGAAAACTTCTTATTATTTACAAAATCTAGAAATTATTATATAAACTAATAATTATTGCCTTGTGCTAGTCCACAGTGCCACTCCTTCAGAGTGATAAGGCGGGACAATTGGTGAGATTATTCCTAGTAAGCCACTTCATGATAGATTTGTACCTGTTATGGTTTCCACATTCGTTCCCGTCTGCTGGTGGCACGGTGGTTATAATGAACGGTCACATGGTAAGAGTAAATTAATTGTGGTGTCTACGTATGAATGTAGGCAGTATGCAAAAGTAAAATCAAATTAGTATTTAGTTCCCAGTCAAGAAGATTCCCACCCATTAATGTACACACACGTATGATCCGAGTTCCGAGTTCTCAATGATATCGCCATACCAAACTACAATAGCTGTTCATATCTTCAACATTGACAATAACGACAATTAAATGTTTCTCGACGAGTTAAATGTATTTATCGCGCAGTGTTAGATATAATAATCTACTTACATTAATTCACGTGAATAGCCCCATCTGCCGCCACCTTGAAGCGGGGTTACAGGTGAAAACAGTTCGTATGTCAACGACTCCCACAAGTGATCAACTGTCACTTGATATCTGGCTGTGTTTGGTGCAACTCTCTCCGACAGATGGCGGATAATGCACTGAGCAGTGGGCGGGCCGTCCAGTGGTAGTCGAGTACACGTGACGCACTAGTCCCTGAGATAATGAAGTGTCACGAAGCCATGATGGGTCGAACCAATCCAAGCATTTCTGCTGCCGACAGGACCCGAGGACCAGTTATCATTGTGGGCCCTTATTGTGTATTTAAACAGTAATGGCCACGTATTGTCTTCAGATAACACCCGTTTTTGTGCAGGTGAATCGATCAAAATCATGTGCACAGCACTATAGTGGCAAAAAGCGTTTTTCACGTGCAACTGGTCACGTGCCCATAATACCGCACGTGTTTCCAGCCATACTTGTTAGCAGTCATTAACAAAAAAAGAAAAACACAAGAAAACAAAAGACTTTACGGCCATTTGTCATGCCACGCCTTTCAAATGTGCAACGTGAACGTGCCATCGTGCATGTTGCTGACGGGAACGTCCGTAGCTGAAGTCGCAAGGACGATGGGTTGTAGTCGACTGACTGTTTATGATTTACAGACGCGTCTACAGCAAACGGGTACCACCGCTGATCGCCCTCGGCCAAGTCGACCACGTGTGACGTCACATGCAGAGGATCGTCAGATTGACCTACGTCACCTCCGTAACCGATTTTTGACGGCTACATCAACCAGAAATGTACTGTTTGGGGGTAGACTGAGTGCGCAAACTGTTCGAAACCGTCTGAGAACTGCTCACCTTCAAGCACGACGGCCATTCTGCGGGCCGATTCTGACTCAATTACACAGACGTCAACGTCAATTGTGGGCACAGCGACACTTACGATGGACAATGATAGACCCCATACAGCAATTTTGACAAGGAATTTCCTTCAGAATGCGGGAGTCAACGTCATACTGGCCGTCAAGGTCTCCCGACCTGAATCCCATCGAACACGTCTGGGATGCTCTTGACAGAAGTCTGCGCAGTCTCCAGAACCAACCACAGAATTTGCAAGATCTTGGCACCATTTTGCAGCAACAATGGCGTCGTCTTCCCAATCATGTGTTCACAAGCATCACAATGTCCATGCGGAGGCGTTGTGTGGCAGTTGTCAACGCACATGGTGGCCATACACGCTACTGAACTTGTGTGCCATCAGATTCTCGTGCTTGGGACTTATGATTTAAACTGTTGATGTTATTACCGAATACCGTAGGTGCTTGGAACAAATTATGGTTACCACCGTTAATTAAAATCCTTCTTTGGACATTAATGATTAACAATTACCTTCTCTGATACATTTGTCCGTTGTATATCATATATGGGATTAATTTTAAAAAATGTGAAGTTTTTAATTTGACTCAGTATATATATATGCCATATACTAGTTTATAGGTTTATGGTGTTGCAGTGGAGGTTGATGGTGTTGCAGAGGAGGTTGATACTGTTGTTTTGAAGGTTGATGGTTTTGCATGGGGTGTTGATGTTGGTGTAGGGGAGGTTGATGCTGTTGCAGTGGAGTGTAATGATGTTGTCGTGAGGTTGATACTGTTGCAGGTGAGGTTGATGCTGAAATATATCCCTTTCTGTAGACCAATAGCGTTTACGTTTTGCCTGGGCCGTCTCGCTTTCTTAACATGTCCCCAACTGAACACCTTGGGACCACCTCTCGTTTTCTTGGGAAAGGTGGTCCCAGTGTCTTCAACTGGGGACATGTTAAGAAAGCGAGATGGCCAAGGCAAAACGCTAACGCAGTGGCCTGCAGAAAGTGGTCGGCGTTACATGCTGCTTGTATAGATATATCAGCATCAACCTCCCCTGCAAAATTATCAACCTCTCCTGCAACAACATCAACCTCCCCTGCAACAACATCAACCACCCCTGTAATAATATCAACCACCCCTGCAACAACATTAACCTGCAACAACATCAACCTCCCCTGTAACAACATTAACCTCCCCTGCAACAACATCAACCACCCCTGTTACAATATCAACCACCCCTGCAACAGCATCAACCATCCCTGTAACAATATAAACCACCCCTGCAACAACATCAACCACCCCTGCAACAACATCAACCACCTCTGTAAATCCATCAACCTGCAACACCATCAACCTCCCCTGCAACAGTATCATCTACCCTGCAACTGTATCAACCCCCTGCAACACCATCAACCTCGCTGCAACACCGTCAACCTCCCTGCAACAGCACCCTCAGTGACAGCGAGCAAAAAGAGAAACTTTGCCGACTCCGCCAGACAAAACACATGATATGCTGACATGATTTATGGAATGAGGTCAAGGTGGAGCATGGCGCTTTAGTCGGGGTATATGAGTGGGACGTGTTGACCACAATTCAATGGGGCGTTACACAGTACAAAACGTCAGTCACACATCACCGCTTCTTGACAAATGTCACGCCGCAGTGCTTACGACCTTGAGCTTCGCTCTTCGCAAGTCACTTATAGGGACAACTTGTTCTATTACATAGAAATTATGATTTTAACTCCACGTAATAATGTTTGACTTAGAGACCTGTGCAAGTCTATTGCGAGTAATCTCAACGAAGGGCACGTTGTTTGAACTGTTGTTGTAATAAATAGAACTAGAGGAAACTCCGTGCTGTGCATGTTAGGTGCACCAACAATACACTGACTAAACAGAAACAATATTAAGCAATCAGTACCATCTGCGTACCATCGACACCAGATAGACGCCGCATGTACATCATTCGGAATGCTCCTCGCTCACACTCACCTAGCTTGACCTGAAGTTCTTCTTCTTCACTGCCTTAGACACTGTCGTCTCAGACATTTCTCAATCACACGAAACAAAAGGCAGCGGCAAGTATAAGTGTGACATCATCTGTCATGTATGGCCAATGCGAAAATCTGATGTAACACCAGAACTTAGATCTGAGTAATATATACTTGCTGTCCCTTTAATCATCGTGACAACATTAACTATGTGTGACACCGGCCAGGACTTGATTCCCTCCCCATGTACAATGTGTGACACAAGTCCAGACTTGATTCCCTCCCCATGTACAATGTGTGACACAAGTCCAGACTTGATTCCCTCCCCGTGTACAATGTGTGACACAAGTCCAGACTTGATTCCCTCCCCATGTACAATGTGTGACACAAGTCCAGACTTGATTCCCTGCCCGTGTACAATGTGTGACACAAGTCCAGATTTGATTCCCTCCCCATGTACAATGTGTGACACAAGTCCAGACTTGATTCCCTGCCCGTGTACAATGTGCGACACAAGTCCAGACTTGATTCCCTCCCCGTGTACAATGTGTGACACAAGTCGAGACTTGATTCCCTCCCCATGTACAATGTGTGACACAAGTCCAGACTTGATTCCCTGCCCATGTACAATGTGTGACACAAGTCCAGACTTGATTCCCTCCCCATGTACAATGTGTGACACAAGTCCAGACTTGATTCCCTCCCCATGTTCAATGTGTGACATAAGTCCAGACTTGATTCCCTCCCCATGTACAATGTGTGACACAAGTCAAGACTTGATTCCATGCCCGTGTACAATGTGTGACACAAGTCCAGACTTGATTCCCTCCCCATGTACAATGTGTGACACAAGTCCAGACTTGATTCCCTCCCCATGTACAATGTGTGACACAAGTCCAGACTTGATTCCCTGCCCGTGTACAATGTGTGACACAAGTCCAGACTTGATTCCCTCCCCATGTACAATGTGTGACACAAGTCCAGTCTTGATTCCCTCCCCGTGTACAATGTGTGACACAAGTCCAGACTTGATTCCCTCCCCATGTACAATGTGTGACACAAGTCCAGACTTGATTCCCTGCCCGTGTACAATGTGTGACACAAGTCCAGACTTGATTCCCTCCCCATGTACAATGTGTGACACAAGTCCAGACTTGATTCCCTCCCCATGTACAATGTGTGACACAAGTCCAGACTTGATTCCCTCCCCATGTACAATGTGTGACACAAGTCCAGACTTGATTCCCTCCCCATGTACAATGTGTGACACAAGTCCAGACTTGATTCCCTCCCCATGTACAATGTGTGACACAAGTCCAGACTTGATTCCCTGCCCATGTACAATGTGTGACACAAGTCCAGACTTGATTCCCTCCCCATGTACAATGTGTGACACAAGTCGAGACTTGATTCCCTCCCCATGTACAATGTGTGACACAAGTCCAGACGTGATTCCCTCCCCATGTACAATGTGTGACATAAGTCCAGACTTGATTCCCTCCCCATGTACAATGTGTGACACAAGTCCAGACTTGATTCCCTCCCCATGTACAATGTGTGACACAAGTCGAGACTTGATTCCCTCCCCATGTACAATGTGTGACACAAGTCCAGACGTGATTCCCTCCCCATGTACAATGTGTGACATAAGTCCAGACTTGATTCCCTCCCCATGTACAATGTGTGACACAAGTCCAGACTTGATTCCCTCCCCATGTACAATGTGTGACACAAGTCCAGACTTGATTCCCTCCCCATGTACAATGTGTGACACAAGTCAAGACTTGACTCCCTGCCCGTGTACAATGTGTGACACAAGTCTAGACTTGATTCCCTCCCCATGTACAACGTGTGACACAAGTCCAGACTTGATTCCCTCCCCATGTACAACGTGTGACAAAAGTCCAGACTTGATTCCCACCCCATGTACAATGTGTGACACAAGTCCAGACTTGATTCCCTGCCCATGTACAATGTGTGACACTAGTCCAGACTTGATTCCCTGCCCATGTACAATGTGTGACACAAGTCCAGACTTGATTCCCTCCCCATGACCAATGTGTGACACAAGTCCAGACTTGATTCCCTCCCCATGACCAATGTGTGACACAAGTCCAGACTTGATTCCCTGCCCATGTACAATGTGTGACACAAGTCCAGACTTGATTCCCACCCCATGTACAATGTGTGACACAAGTCCAGACTTGATTCCCTGCCCGTGTACAATGTGTGACACAAGTCCAGACTTGATTCCCTCCCCATGTACAATGTGTGACACAAGTCCAGACTTGATTCCCTGCCCGTGTACAATGTGTGACACAAGTCCAGACTTGATTCCCTCCCCATGTACAATGTGTGACACAAGTCCAGACTTGATTCCCTCCCCATGTACAATGTGTGACACAAGTC